CACGTTGGCAGCCCTGACCCCATGGGCCACTTGCTCAGAGGCAAGCAAGGAGCTGACCTGACCGAGGCTCTGGGCACTGATAGTGGTGAGGCTGGGGTGTCTGTCTAAGTGTTGGGGGGCAGAGGGTACCACTGAAGACTTGAAGGGCAGTTCTGACCCCAAGCACTGATTCCAGATTTTGTGGAAGGGGGTAAGGTGAGAATTTCCAAATAGATAGACATTTCTTAAAGATATTGTTATGAGATTTGAGAACAACTTTTATGGAGGTGCACTTGAAGGACTTAGAATATTCCTTCTGCAGAGCCCAGAGGAAAGGCAGAGGCAGGGCGGGCTGGTGGAGGGTGTGGGCCAGGCAGGAAGCCCACAGTGACTGTCCAAAGCCATAGGGAGATTACAGGATGGAGGTCCCAATGTGCCTGAAGTTCTCCCAGATGAACAGATAAGTGAGCTGAGCCACCAAGGAGCGCTCTCCAGGTGTAAAGGGACCCCCTCACCTTGCCCCCAAGATCCCTCGCTCACCTCCAACAGAGCCTCAGTCTCAAGGGCGTGGTCCTCAACTCCTTGTTAGCCGGGCTGCCTCCGTTTCTTTACACCGAGATTCTAGCACAGTGCCTAGCCCAGAAAAGAATGAGGATATGCTGCTATATGAACTAATGAATTATGGGCTTTAAAAAAATACATCTAGAAACAATAAAATCAAGATGTGTTTAGCGTGAAAGAATAAGAAATTCAGTCTTTCTAGAGAGAAGCTTGAGGAGGAACAAAGAACTGAGGCTGAAAGTTATAGATGGTTAAAAGTTTTGGTTTCATACAAAGGAATGTAAGCTTTACATCATAAGGAATAAAGAGCAGTCTATAGATTTTCAGCATGAGATATACTTGCTCCAATTTCTATGTCATGCTCAGGGATTTGAATTTTATGTCATGGCTATGAAATTTGAAAGGTATGAAGCTGAGAATGTCATGATAAAATCTGGGTGCCATGCAGAGACACTGGTGATGAAACTACATATAAGACTTTAAGCAGGAGTTTCATGAATAAATTTGGGCTTTATGAGAAGAAATCTGGACTTTATTTTGAGGGGGTGACAGTTTCAAAATTTTATGTCCTACTAAGGAGTTTGGATTTCTGCCATACAGTTTTAAGAAATGTGATGGTGAGACTTTTGCTTGTGGGAGATAAGTCTGCAGGAAAAAAAAAACACTTGATAAAAATCTATCTTAAATGGTTAACAGCTTGAGACTTTACTATTACAAGCAACAAGGAAACATGGAAAAAGCATAAACAGGAAAGTAACAGCCACAAATTTAAGGATCATGCTCAAACATTCTGACTTTATATGTTGGGGGAATGCCAAGGTCTGACTCGCAGGGCATGCCAAGGAGATATGATTAATGTTGACACCGAAGAAAGATTTTAATTAGAGGAGTTACATGATCAGCACTGTGAATACACAAAGAAATTTGGAATTTATTTAGAGGCTCTTACATTATGGGATTTTTGCACATGCCTAGGAATTTGATTTACCCAATAAAAAGTTCTAACAGAGTGACATGGTTTTTTTGTGTTTAATAAACAGAACACAGTGAAATTACAAAATAAAATTCACATTTCATGCCGGAAATCTGGACTTTCATGCCATACTCAATTAAGAGACATTGTAAGATTTTAAGGTGGAGCTATAAGATCAAATTTAATATATTGTGCTAGGAAGTGTGAATTTTATTTTAAGGGCTGACGTGATCAAATTTTTATATCATGCTAATAAATTTGGCTATAAGCCAATATAAAAGGCTTAAAAGTGTGACAAGGTGAGATTTGGGGCTTTTTAATAGAACAGCCTAGAGGACAAATTAATGGTAAAATGCTGTATTTTATGTTAACTACTTCAGACTTTATGTTACAGGCAATGAGGAAACTTTGAAGTTTTAAATTGAACAGTTTCATGTTCCAACATACATATTTTGACATAGCAGTGAATAGATCTTTAAGGTAAAGATAATATGATCAGATTTTTACAGCTTGCTGAGGAGTTGAGTGTCAAAGGCACTGGAGCATTCTCATTCAAAGAGATGAAACCCAGTTTTGAGCATTTATGTCAGGGTATTTGAAGTTTAGCCAATGGTTTTAAGGAGTGAGTTGATGAGTTTTGGTCTCCCATGGAATTTTGATGGTAAAACATAATTTATGCTAAAGTATCTGGATTTGATGATTCAGATAAGGAATGAGCATCAGCTGTTCCTCAGCAGAGGCACCCCATTGACACAAGAGCACCCAGTTTGTGCTCTGTGTTAAGGAGTTGGGTCATTTATGGACTGGGCAAAGAAATTTCTATAGTGTGCTAAGAAGTTTGGATGCAGTTTTGAGGAACAACAGGACCAAATTTTTATGCCATGCTAAGGAATTTGGATTTTGATCATTAGATTTTAGGAGAGTGAACTCTTTGTGTTTGATGGAACAGTCTTGCAGGAAAAATTACAGAGAAAATGTGTAACTTTATGCTAGCAGTTTAGCTTTCATCTCATAGGTAATTCAACCTTCAGTAGAAGTTACAAGTGCACTGCATGTATCTTGCACGAAGAGTCACCTTTGATGTTGAGAAACAACAATGACCGGATTTTTATAACATGCTAAGAGGGCTAGAATTAAGCCAATCAAAGGTTTCAGGAGTGGCCTGGTGAGGTTGTGCATTTTGATTGTCGGCAAATAAATTCCATGGTAAAAATTTTTACTTTCTGCTAAATGGTTGGAACTTCATATTATAGAAAAGAAACTTTTGTGTGTCTTAAATAGAGAAATTATGGGATAAGTTTATTTGCCTTCCTACGAGTTTATACTTTGATGTTAAGGCGTATTAAGAGAAGAGTTTTGTAACATGCCAAGGATCTTAGCTGGTAGGTTGAAGGCAGAGAAGTTGAAAGATTTAATCTTTTACGTAATCAAATTTGTATATAGACTTTATATTAGTAAGTCTGTTTTTTAAATCATCATAGTAAGTGAGTTTAAATTTTAGCCAATAAAGGGTTTTAAATGAGAGACATGCTGAGATTTTTATTTCTGATAGATGAATCTGCAGATGAATTACTTAGTCAAGGTTTGTATTTCAAGTAGAATTGTATTAGAGACTCGGAATTTTACAATAATCATACATACCTTGGAGAACTTTGATGAAAAGGAAATGGGTAAATATATGCAATTTGTTGTGCATGTTTCTGCAATGATGATGGCAACAGTGATTTTACCTAATTTGTACACTATGCTTAAAAAATGTGATCTCTACCTCAAGGAATGACATGTCAGAATTTTGTATTATGCTAAGGCCTTTAAATTTTATCCAGAGAATGGTTTTGGTGAGTTTACATGTCAGCTGTGTTTATACTAAAAGGTTTGGATTTAATATTGCAGACAGTAAATAAACAGTACAAGGCTTTAATCAGAGGGATCGCATGATCAAATTTAAGTGTCATGCTAACAAGGGTATACTTAATTTTGAGAAACAGCAGATCTGAATTTTGTATCCTGTTGGAAAGTTTGGATTTTAGCCAATGTGGAATTTTACATAAGGGAAGACTTTTTTTTTTTAATAAATCAGCCCCATAGCTCTCAGAAGAAAACCTTTTGTTACTTCCCATTTTTAAATTTATAAAGTGCAATAACTGTATAATTAATCTATTGAATAATCAAAGCTCAGAAGAACTATGTAATCTATTGAATAATCAAAGCTCAGAAGAACTAAAGCCAAGACATCTCTTTAAATTCAGTCTCTGCTCATTAAAAGCACCCAACACTAGATTTTCAAAAATTCCAGGTCAATCAGGTTTCATGCCCTCTGCCCACTCAACCTCACACCTCTACTCAATATACTCATTTTGGAGGAAATTAACCAGTGACAGAGAGGAGGGGAATTTGCTAGAATGGGAACCCTGTCCCCATATAAGTAGAGAAGGAAACTTGGGAAAATAAGATTGGGGAGGTGTGCAAAAACATTTGCAGGAGCTGAATTGAGGCCAGATGTTTGAAGTTCCAGGACAATCCTAGCAAAGTGGGGACTTTAGGAGGGGTAGGGAGGTTATTTGAATATTTCAATAGTTCAGAGCTGGAGAGAACACAGCCTTGGAAGGACCTTGGAAGGATATCAAATTGAGAAAGAGAAATTCCCCAAAAGTGTGACCTTAAGATCAAGCAACAAATGTGCAAGTATCCAACACAAAGTAGGCAGTTTATAAACATTTATGGGGGAAAAAATTAAAAGGAACAGCCAGAACCCAGACCTCTATGCCTGTCTCCCCACATACCTCAACTTTGAACCTGGAGGAGGAAATAAAAGATATTTTGAGCTGCTGACCCAACTGGTGGGACCGTGGCCAACTGCCCGTTTTCTCCTCTTCCACTGAGCTTGTAAAACAGCAGGCATCTTTGCTATAGATTCCCGCCTCCACAACCAAGCAAGCTGGACATGCTCCAGAGCACTCAGCCTGCCAAGGTTGGTTATGAGTGACATTGAGATGGGACCTCTGTGACTTTCAAGTGACTAGAGAATGGAAGTAGGATTGACCAGGCACAAATGCCAGGGCAAAATGGGGCAGCTGTGTACCCTGCCAGGTGTCTGCCTGCCATGGAGGCTGCTCTGGGCCAGTTGTGCTACAAAATTTATGGGCTGTGAATTTCTCACACCCATAGAGGAAGCAGGCAGGCTGGGCAGACAGACTCCACCTGGGAGGCAGGTCAGGAGTTGACTGATTTCTCTCCCTTGGAGTGCCCCAAGTGACCAGCTGAGGAGGCTACTTAAACACAGGAAGGATTTCTCTGTACCCCTCTGATTCTGATCACTTGGGCATCTGATTTGTCAGACCCTGATCTTATGAGACCCTAAACTGCTGCCTTTGCTCCCCACCCCATCTCTTCCATCCCTAGGTTCTGATCTCCACGGTCGCAGTCTCTGACCGTGCGCAGCACAACCTTACCGATCTTCAGAAAACACTCCTTTCCAACCGACGAAATGATAGAACCCTCTGAAGACTCATTTGAGACGATGATGGAGCTTAAGAATCCATCATCAAAACAAATGGAGTCCTCCGAGGGCTCATCCAACACCACCGTGGAGAAACTGGGCAGCGAAGTGGAGGCAGCAGCAGGGCCAGCTAGTGACCCAGCCCAGGAAAGCAAGGAGCCACCCAGTGGCCCACTCCAGGAAATGGAAGAGCTGCCCATTGATCTACTCCAAGACATGGAGGAGCCATCCAGTGGCCCACATAAGGAAATAGAGGATCCACCCAATGACCTACTCCAAGACATGGAGGAGTCACGCAATGGTTCACACCAGGCAATGGAGGATCCTCTCAATGCAGCACCTGATGGAATGAAAGAAGCATCAGTAAACCCATTAGGCACCCAGGAAGAGCAAGAATACAACACTAACCTGAAGGAGGAGGGAAAGGAGGTGAATTCTGAAGAGGAAATCCAGCAAGGGAACAATCCCGTGGAAATGATGAGGTCCATCATCTCACTGTACCTCCGAATGCAAGACCTCAAAGAACAGCAAAGAGTAGCAGAAGAGATCTTGGTAAAAGGCATCAATGCAGGCAGGCTGCCCTCCCCGAGAAGCTTCTCTGGGGATCGCAGAGAATACCATGAATTCATCGTGCTCTGCCAAATGATCTTACAAAGCTGCCCGAGAATGTTCTACAATGACCACCTGCGAGTGAGGTATGTCATGAACCACCTGTCTGGCTTAGCTTTAGAGTGGGCCAAGTCTCTGCAGGAGCAAAACAGCCCCTTGATGGAAAATTTCCCAGCCTTCCTGGAGGCCATGTCAGGGGTGTTTGAGTATCGGCAGACACTGCGTGTGGCAGAAGACGCCATGTTCAATATCAGGCAGGGGAATCGCTGTGTCACTGATTACATCAATGAGTTCCAGAGCCTGATACCCACCTTGGGCTGGCCAGATGAAGTCCTGCAGGCCCACCTGTGCCAGGGGCTCAATGAAGATATCAGGCATTATCTATTCCGGGTCCCTCAGCCGGATTCCCTGGACAGTCTGATTGTGCTTGTCCTGCAAATAGAAGACAAGCTGGCGGAGAGAAAAGCGATGCTCAGGCTGCCCCCCGAAGCCCGCCCCCGGAACCTGACCTGGATCGACTCACCTACTCCAGAGAAGTGGATGGTTAGCAGCTGGCTGCCCACTGATTTCCATCCAGACATCCGTCGTGCCCATCTCTTTCTGCTGCTCATGGTAAGAGTGAACCCCTACCACAGTGTTGCAGTCCAGGCCCTTGTTGATTCGGGAGCAGAAGGCAATTACATGGATGAGAAGTTTGCCCAAGAGCACTACGTGGAGCTCTATGAGAAGCCCTATCCACAGTTGATCCAAACCGTGGATGGCTCACTGATCGGCGACGAACCTATCTGGCTCTACTCGGAACCCCTGGTGTGCGTTCATCAGAACCACCAGGAGTCCATCGAATTTGACATCGTACCTTCACCCAACTTCTCCGTGGTCTTAGGCATCAACTGGCTCCGGACCCATGCCCCCGAAGTTGACTGGATCAAAGGCCGCTGCACCTTCCACTCTCCCTACTGCCTGAAGAATTGCTTCCGCGCACCCCCGCCATGCATTGCACTGGAAAAGCACAGCATGAGCCTGCTACCCGGACTGCCGCACCCGTACTCAGACCTGGCCGACGTGTTTAACCCGAAGGAAGCTGATGATGAGACTTCCGACCAGCCAAGCTCAGACGGATCCGATGATCTTTCTGAATCAGAGCCCTCTGAGCTTCAGCAGGCTGGAGACAGTGATCACAGCGAGACCTTTTACGAATGCCCCTCTTCTGCGCCTTGGGAACCTGTGGGTGCCGGGATGCAAGAACAAGCCAGGCAGCAGCAAGATGATTTCTGGGAGCTGCAGAACATGCTGACCAACAGACAGGACTACATACAGATGATTCCAGAACTCTTTGACCAGTTACACGGAGCGACATGGTTCACAAGATTGGAGCTGCGGGGCACCATTGTGGAGGAAAGCGTGAACGGCAGCCGTACAGAAGACACATGGAGAGCAGCATTCGGGTTAGAGCTTCAAGATATGAAGAGCTACCGGCCCTTCACAATGTCCCCAGATCCTATCATACCTCAGAATGTCATTCTCTTTATCCTAAAGGACATGCTAGGCTTCTGTGTGCTATCCTATGGCCAAGAGGTCATAGTCTACTCTATGTGTCAGGAGGAGCACATCCAACATGTCCGCCAAGTCCTGGTCCGTTTCCGACACCACAACGTCTACTGCTCACTGGACAAAAGCCAGTTCCACCGCCACTCTGCGGAAATTCTAGGCTTCACCATTTCCCCCAAAGGAGTGAAACTGAACAAGAGTGTCATGGATGTTCTAATGGGGTACCCTACCCCTGGCACCAAGAAGACCCTGAGAAGCCTGATCGAATTTGTCTTCCCCTACCGGCACTTTGTGGAGCACTTTGCCATGATTACGGAGCCCCTGGCACGGCAGGTGCTGAACAGTGACCCATTCCACTGGGGGGATGAGGAGCAAGAAGCCTTCGAATGCCTGAAGAGGGCCTTCCGCAAGGCACCTCGTCTCTACCACCCCAAGCCTCAGAACCCATTCTATTTGGAAACAGGAATCACCAGGATGGGCCTGTACTCCTCCCTGATCCAAATCGACGAACAAACCGGCAAGAAAGTCACCTGTGCTTTCTACTCCCGCAATCTCTCCCCAATCGAGGTGGAGTACCCTCTTGTTGAGATGAAGATCCTTCCAATTCGGGCTGCCTTCATGGTGTGGTGCCGCTACCTGGAGAACACCGAGGAGCCCATCATGATCCTTCTCAACACAGAGGATCTAGCCTCTCTGAATAATGACAGGCTCACCGTACTTCTCCCCGGGCATTGGGTCTTCTTCTTCTCCCACTTCAACTTTGACGTCATGGAGCTGCCAGAAGAAGATACAGGCCAATCCATAGCACCCCTGAGAAACCACTGCTGGAGAGCTATGAGGGGCAGGGCCACGCGGCCACTCCTGCTTCTGGCCATGAGAGGAACTACCAGGGATCAGGCAAACGACTCCGGGGAGGAGGACAATGAAGATGAGCCAGAATACAACGAGCAACATGAACAGACCCTGGTGCAGGAGCTCCTGGCTATGATACCGATTGACCAGATCCTCAACAGCTTCCTGGCCCACTTCAGCATGGCTCAGATACGGGCCGTCATCCTACACTTCTTCCGTGGTCTCCTGTACTGGAAGAACGTTCTAGCCCTGGCAGCCCTGCTGGTGCTGCTGAGGGTGAGGCAGCACCTCTCCCTGCCACCAGCACCGTCCATGGAGGTGGCACGGCCCCAGCCACGGCGCTCACTACGACTCATCCTGGACTCGACCCTCACTGCAGGCAGTGGCATGGCCACAGCCATTGCTCAGCTGCTCAGCCAGATGCCTCCTCTCGTGGGCGCCAACACCATCCCAGCCGAGGAGCTGGCCGAGCTGTTCCTGGGGCCTGGACACTGGCGGCGAAATGCCCTGCACCCCCAATTCCCCCGAGGCCTGCGATTCACCCCTGGGTTCTGGCTGACTCTCTGTGAGTTCTTTGGTGTCAGGGTCACCCCGCCAGAGGGCAACCGCCCAGCCCTGCACCAAAACCGGTACTTGGAGCTGCACGTCGTTGGTGATGAGGATGTCGTCTTGCGAGAGGCCCTGCAAGACGACCTGCAACGTTACCGTCAGAGTGGCCTGCATGACGGCCTGCAAGACACCTCGCAGGACGAGCAGGACAACGACGTGCTGGAGGCCCTGCCCACTGACTCAGCTGTCGCCCTCCCACTCCGCCCACGCAACCTGATGGACCCAGAAGTCCTGGACTTCCTCAACAGCCGCCTGCTCTATGTCCATGGTGCCGACGGCCAGCTTAACCTACTCAGCAGGGAGCAGGTGGCCAGGGCCCTGACCCGTTTCCTGACCATGGTCTACACACAGGCCCCACCTGCACCTCCCACAGAGGCCCAACCGAGGGAAGAAGCAAGGCTAGAAGGGCTACCTGACCTTGAAGATGCTGACCTAGACTAAAAATGCCTCTGCTATGGAAGAAGGCCACTCTTTTTCTCTGGACACACCCCACAGTGTCTCTGCCACCCTCCCTGTGCCTCAGCCAGCTTTGCTCAGACCCACTGCCTCCTCCTGCTGGTCCTGACCCAAGGGGAACCCACTTGTGAAGGGCAAAAATTTCAACTCATCAACCAGCAACATCATCCGTGCTAAAGGACTATCCAACCATCAGAGTCCCAGAGTCAGCCAAGAGCTGCACACCCTGTCTGAATTTTCCAGGGCCCAGGCCCACAGCTGGGAGTGAGATCAATGAGAGGAGAAAGCAGTGAGGAGCAGCAATGAACCTGTGACTCCGTGACCCAAGGCCCAATGCAGCAGCAGGCACAGCAGGTGCAGCCAAGCAAGCAGATGCCAGGGACCACCCCCTCCCAAGTGGCGTGGCCACCTGTGCATCCTGGGACACTGACCTCGGGTGCTCCACTGACTTCTTCTACCTCCACACCGGTGCTCCAGCTCCCCTGGGCCCCGCCCCCACCCCTGCCCAACCCCCTCCCGAGGTCCTGTGATGCCTCCCCCAGCCCCACCCACCCTGCAAGCAAGCCCCCCCCACCGTCTGGTTAGGCTCCCTTCATCTGACCAACTTCATCTGACCCTGAGCTCTGGACTTACCTGGACAAAGCCGCTCCATTAAACATCTGACGTACCAGTACCACTTACCAGAGGAATCTGAGACTCAGGGGTCACCAGAGTGGGCCTATATACTGAGTGGGGCTCCCTCCCCCTCCCAACCAATGCTGACAGATGAACAGTGCAGAGCACAGAGGCCCCTAATAAAAGGAGGGGTCCAAAAGAGACTGTGAAGGCCCCTGACATCCACCCTCCTGTGCTAGGGAGTCAAGAGTGCTCCAACCAGACCACTGCTTTTTGCCATGGGGAGGAGACCCTTCCCCACACTTTCCTACTTCACCACCCTTTTCAGCCACAAAATAAAAGAAAATAAAAGATTATGTGACTTTGTGGTCTATTCTAAAAGGTGGAGTGCAGGGAACAGTCAAGGAGGCGGACAGGGAGGATGGAGGGTGCATCCTGGGAGGAATGCGGAGGGTGGGAGTGGGGTTGAGTAAGTGGAGGGTGGGAAGGGATGGGAGCAGGAAAGGCTTAGCTGTCTCCCAAGACACAACAGCAGCAGGCTCTCTTCCACCTTCTGAAAGTGTCCCCTCCAGACCCTGGCCCTTCTTTCTACCTTGGGAAGCCTCCCCACTCCCATATACACATAGACACTACCCCCCAGTAGTTCATCCCAAGAGGGGTAGTGCGCCTGGAAAAGAGTGCATGGGTGGGGAGTTCTGGGAATTCCTTCCACTTGACAGCACGGAGCCCAGAAATCTGGGTTCCTCCTCTGGCCAAAACCTTCTTGTCATGTGATAAATGAGGGTGGGCAGGCTGGAGTCTATGCCCGCAGCTCAGAGGGTCTGAGCCCTATTCTGGAGCAATCTTCACCCCCACCCTCAGTGGAGAAGGCCTGGTTCCCCTTTCAAAAGGACTCCTGCTCTAAAAGTGGCCAAGTCACTGTCCTGAGGGTGCACTGCTGGGAAAGGGGTGGGGCTCCCAGGGAAGCCCATGAAGCAGGGATGGGTAGCACTCACTTACTGTGGACTCATGGCTCCACTGTCCAGCACACACTGACCCCTCTGTTTGGCCAGGCTTCACCCCTTCCAGGAGCAGCCCCTGACCTCACAGAGGTCAGCCCGCCCCACCCCTCCACACAAGGAACTCTGCAAGAAGGAAGAAAAGTAAGGAGCTGTAGACCCCTCCCAGCAAGACCTCAGACCTCCAATGGGGAGGTGGACAATACAGAGGTTCCACAGAGCCCTCATACCCTAGGGACTTCAGCTCTGCCCTCTATGACCTGCCCGAGGATCTGCTCCTGAGTCAGGCCAATAGAGAGTCCCAACAGAGCTCAGGTTCAAAGGTCAGCACTCTGCAGGGGCCTGATCAGCCTGCCCTGGAGCCAAGTTATCATCTGCCCTGTGGAAGAGGCCCTACTCTGTCCCAAAAAAGTGCCAAGGCACAGCGAACCCTGCTTCCCTGTTTCACCTATACCTTGTGCCACTAGGCACAGAGACTGGAGCCCAAAGCCAGTGCAGAAAGCTTGGCCACATCTTCCTATACTCTACCTAGCCCCACACTTGGCTCATTGTGGCCTCATGGTTCCCTACGGGTGACTGGCTGCTGCCCACCACCTATCAGTCTAAGGTATCTACCCCTGACAGCAACACCAGGAGATCATGGTTATGATCCCCAGTTTCAAGGTCAGGGGCTCATCCTCACCTCTGAGATTCTCCCTGAGGTTTTAGGGAGTTGCCAATGGACCCACCCAGCCCCCTGCAGACTGGCTGCAGGACAAGCTATCCCAGCCTCAGTTTCCTGATCTGTCACTCAGACCCACAAGGGCTCCTTTAAGATTTAAGCGCTGGGCACAGTCCATAGAGTTCCCACCTTCCATGGACTTACAATGCATGGATTTCTGTTGTCACTTATTCAAGGTAAACTTGGAGAAATCAAGGCCCAGAGAGGCCTTCAGAGAGTTTAGGACACCTCCCTGGTGGCCTTTGCCCTCTCACCTTGGGCTGCTCCACCACACAACCTATGATGCCACATACAGCTGACTTCACAGCAGCCTAGGATATTGAGGGGGCCATGTCTGTTTATCCACCTAGCATTCTGCACCTCACAGCAGCTCTAACAGATGGATCAAGGGCAGAGGTGCATTTGCAAGCTTAGTGACCTGGTGCTGAAAGCTTAGTAACCTGGTGCATTTGAAAGCTTAGTGACCTGGAAGGCCCTGGCTCTGACTTGCTTGGTGACCACAAGGAATGGGCATCCATCTCACCAATAATGTTTTCCTATTTTCAAATAGGGAATATAGACAGAGGAGGGCAGATCCAAGGCAAGACAGAGTCACCAAGGGCCCTTGGTTCCCAAAATTCCTTTTGTCCCAGATAATACTCTTCTTGGGGTTCCCAAGGAGAATTCACTACTTGGAGTGTAACCTGGGGTTCTAGTAGGGAGGCCACCCCAGCACTGGACTCTTAGCTCAGGGAACCTGGAGGGCACACCTCTGTCCCTGCTTGGCATGGACTTCCCCTGGGTATAGCAGGATGAACAGATGACCCCTAACTGTCCCCGCAGCCCAGAATCTGAGGGCCACCAACTTCACCTGACAAGTCATAGCAGAAGATGGGAAAATAGGCTAAGGCTAAACAGGGAATCTCTCACCCAATAATCAGCCCCTTCGGGAGGAGGTGCAGACACCAACTAATGTGAGCACATTTACACACAGCCCTATGGGAGCCATCAGAGCAGTAGTGGCCCCTGCTCCCACGCCAGCTTCTCCTCTCCATCTATCCAGAAGGGGCTTTATCCCCACATACAGAGAAGACAAGCAGTCCCCAGGCCCAGAGGACAGCTACTACCAAAGCAAAACATTAGGTTATTATGGTTACACTTCCAGAAAACAAAAGTTTCAAAGAGCATAAAACAAAACTTTTTTTTTTCTCCTGGAAAAAAAAAAAAAGAAGTTGTCATTAAAGGACAAGCTAAGTAATGACCTCATGACCTGCACAAAAAAAGTGAAAGCCCAAGACCAATCCCTGGCTACTCTGGACAACAGGCTGCACATCTTGGTACACTCCAGCACACAAGCCCACCCACTGAAGGGTGCACCCACTTTCCAGCTTCACTGCCCTGCCCTGAGGTCCCCAACATCCAGTGGGGTCAAGGGGACAAAAGAGAGTCCAAGTTCCACCTTTGGCAATCCCACCTGTCACCTTCTTTCGCCATCTTCCTCCCCTGCCAGTCCACCTCCACAAGCTGCCCAAACACTCCAGCCTCCAGGTCTGGCACACTAGACCTGTTTCTAGAGCCTGCAACAGCACACACTTGTTAGCAGCCAACAACAACTCACCATCAGGTCCGGATTTGCCCATCCCTCCTGCGAGTGGCCAGGGGTTGAATTAGGGCTCCGAACACACGGCCCTGACACAGGGCTAGGAGCTCTGCCAGCTCCTAACAATCTGGCTGGAACAGAGGCAGGAGATCCCTTCCTTGTCTACCTGGATGGCCCCAGTCAGCTCCCATAGTAAGAAAGAGAAAGGGAAACCAGCATGCAACCCCCAAATCCCCCTACCCACCCCAAGCCTTTCTGCTGGGCCTATGGGTGCTCCTTCAGGCCCCATGACCGGCAGATATAATGTGAGACCCAGTGAACCTCCTCCAGACCTTCGTCCATCTTGCTGAGTTCAACGAGGACCACCATGTTCATCCTGACACCATGAAAGTCACAAGGTGAAAAGGTAGGGAGAGGAGTGCATGGGGAGAAGGGGTGAGGAAAGAGGGGGCAGGGCAGAGGTAGATGGGACAGATGGGAAGGGGAGGGGGAGGATGCCTGGGCCCCTCCTGTGTCTCTCTAATGGCTTCCCGCAGTGGCAAGGCCTTCCTAATAGCTGCCCATGTGTGCCTGGGCTGGCTGCTGTGGCTGGTTATTGCAGTTAAAGATGGCAATATCACGGAACTGGGTACGGGTCCCCTCCACATGCATGGACCTAAGTTAGTGGGGTACAGGGGACAGAGGCATCTGTGCCAGCTGCTCATGGTGCTGTCGCAGTGTCCATGGGCTCCCGGCCTGGGCAAGGCTGGCACAGAGGAAGAATGGGTGCCTGCTGACAGCCACTAGGGGACCCAGATTAAGAATGCTTGGGAAGATGGGAACTGTCTCTGGAAGGGCTCAGGGAGAGAGTAAGAGGCCGCCTGTGAGGGGCCTCAGCCTCCTGGTCATGATAAAGTCCTGGGTAGAGGCAGAGGCCCCTCAAGGAGACCCTCCTCCTGGGGCACTGGTGAGGGGCAGCCCTGCTCTGTCCCAGCTCTGCCCCCCAGTCCTGGGAATAAAGGCACCATCTCTCCAAAGTCTGCCCCTCTGTCCTGTGAGCCGGGTCCTCAGAGGGTCTGGTGGGAGTACAGCC